ACATAACCTTGGGAACACTAGGTGCCCTCCCTCCACCCTTGGAAGAGGTCTCCAGGGCTGAGACACTTCATTCGAATCCTACTTCCTCTGGACCTGGGCATGGGGACAGACACCCTCATCAGCGTGTGATTCACATGTGGGAAGGGAGCCACAGCATCAGCCATGTTCAAGGACATCACCCAGTGAGGGATGACTTTGTTTTAGGTGCTCAGCAAACTGATGACAAATCCATGTGCAACCATTCACAGCCCTTAGCAGCTTCTCCCGGCTCAAAGCAGTGAAGGCAGGGTCTCTACAGCCAGGGGACAGGCTCTGAGGAGCTAAGTCCAGGCCCAGACCCTGGTGTCTTCAGAGGGTCCCAGATTAGGGTCTAGAACCTACTTCTCTTGGAAAGTTGCCAGGTGAGAGAATTCAATCACCTAGAAATCCAGCTACGGCCCGCAGTGTTATCCCAGTATTATCGGGGAGAGTCTAGTCTTGACTCTTGGCTATCAAAGGTGCAGTCAGGGAAGCTGCAACCAACTGGCCCTAGGGGAAAGTCCTCGGCTGTGCTGGCCATCTCTGTCTGCCCCATCCGGCTAGGTGCATTCAGCCCCTGCTCTGGCCCCGCAGGCTGACCCTTATGGACTGCATCATTTGGGTTCCCGGTAGGCTGGATTACTAGAGGGGCTCAGCCAATCAGAGGTCTGAACATGAGGAGAATGGGAGAGGGGCGTGATTCTTCTGGCTCCCACCTGGGCCAGCACTGGCTGCATCCCCTCTTCCCTGTGCTCACCCCAGGTTGGGCACCTTCCCAGCTTCCTCGCCCCTGTAAAGAGTCTCTTCACCCTCCTCTTTCCCAGTGGCCCATCTAAGTGAGTTTCTGTTTCCTCCTAAAGTCCTGGTTATTGTGCCTGATGGAAGAAGGACTTTGGGATCAAATCTCTGCCCTACCACCTCCCTTTCCCCTCCCTCCTCACTGCCAAGGCCATTAAAGACACCTGACTTGACTATGTACCTCCCAGCCTTACGGCAGGTCCTCTGCTCCCTTCCTCCAACCACATCCCAGGAAAGAACTACATTTTGTGCTCCATCTCATTCGCCCACCACAGTGTAGCCCCTGGGTTTGAATCCACATCTGGCCAGTGAGCCCAGTGCAGTTGGCATTCGGACGCCACTGGAAGAGAGAAACCCCCCAGTTCATCCAGACTCCACCACCTCCTATTGTCCACCGCAGGCTCCCACACACATTCAGGGTATCTGCCTAACCCCAAGGGCCCTGAATGTGGGGCCTCTGAATAAGGGCAAGGGTAGTAGAGAACTTGCCCTTTGGCTATTCAGGCATTTTGCAAAAACTGCTTGAAATGTGGATGAAAAATACTTTTTTTAAAAAAACTGATGCTCTCTAATTTTAAAAGCAAACTTTGCTTAATATTGTGTATTTTTGACTCTATGAAACAACTCCCACTTCATGGAAGCGAGACTCCAGCCACCATGTACATGGGAAGTCCACCCAATCCTGGCTTTCACTCCCACTTGTTCCTGGAAATGCCACCCACTCTTGTGGTGGTAACATTAGCCTGCCAACGTCTGGGCAGATAGGCCCTGGCCTCCAGCTGTAACAATATCATCACGTGTGGCTAATTCTTTAACCCACAAATGGATATACGCTGACCACTCTGCATGAAATGGTGGAGACACATGTGGCCTTTTCAGAGAGGCTCAATTGCATGCAAAAATGACCAAACACCTCCCCTTCAATTTCTAGAAAACCTTACGGGGTATTTGAGACCCAGGAGGCCATAAGCCTCTACAAGAGCCAGCACATGTGCAAGGCCAGACAAAGCAAAGGCCTGTGCAAAGTTCTCTTATCCTTCTCAAAGCCATGGGAATAAAGGTCTCACGTTGATACATCTTCCAAGGTTCTTTCATAAAGTCTTTTTTAGTTTTCACTACACTAGTGCAAAAACTAAATTGTTCCTGGCTTGAACTATGTAGAAAAACAAAATATTTTCAAAAGTATCAATACTTGGGCTACTTTTAAAGGATTCAGCACTAGATTTGAGACTATCTGTCCCGCCTATATGTAAAAAAGATGAATGTCTGACCATCTGTATACACCAAACATAAACATACATACACACACATGAACACTTGTATGTGCATATATATATACAATCACATTATTTATTTATCATTGTGCACATACCTGCATATCCCCCATATTGATCACAAGTGAACTTGTGTGTGTCTGTGGTGTGTGTGTGTGTGTGTGTGTGTGTGTGTGTGTTGTGTTTGAGAGAGATCAGAGCTTGAACCAAAGGTCATTTACAGAAAACAGAGCCTGTACCCCTTGTTTAGATGAGAGCACAGAGGCATACCTTCAGAATGATAGCTACTTCTCCTTTACCCTAAGTATTTTAATTATTTGAAGCCCATGGTTAAATCTGGAACATTAGGAAAGCTATTTGGATTCCTAAGACCCAAAGCCCTCTTTCTCTTCAATAGGAAGACATATTCATGATGACCCCACTATTCACTCCTCTTGGCTTCCCTTAAGCCAGATAAATGCAGGGATGAGGTAACAGAATGTCTCTTATATATGCATAAACCTCCTTACAAAATAGATGTACATTTCTGCCTTTTCCCCTCTGTGACATAAAAAAAAAAAAATGTTTATATTTTTGGAACTGTAACTCTAAAATACTATCCTTTTTAAATGGCAGAATTAGATTGTTGGCTTCTCCAGAAGACAGCCATCACACATTAACAAAACACACAAGATAGAAAGTCAAACACAAAAAAGAAAAATATATAAAACATATCTTATACAGCGGCCATATCCCATGCTTTTGGACATGCAGGCAGTATCCAATGGCCCTGGGGTTTCCTGCTCAGGCCCCTGAGATCCTGACAGAGTTCCCACATGTAATCCCAGTCCCCTCTTTCTTATTACATTGTTTGTTTGTTCCCCCCAGTAATCCACCGAGCCAGTCACTGAGAGGTTAGTAAAAAAAAACAACTTTATTCGCAGAGGCTGAGACTTTGGGGTAACAAACTAGCCAATGACAGCTCGTCTGCCACATTTTAAATCAATCACAGTAGAGCCTAGATCTCAGCAACAGAATCTCATCCAAGTCCTTAATGTCAAGGGCACTCTGCAGCTCACTAACATGTTCCCACCAGCCTGGGTAGAATGCCATCAGGGAAACATTGATGAGTCAGTCAGAAGCACATAGCTTTAAGGATGAATTCTCAGAAAGTCAATTCTGTGCCTACAAATTATTAAATTATTAGGCTTGTCCTAAATTTCCTTTCCAACATATTAGCCAATAAGGTTCTCTTAATGTAAAGTTCGTGTTCATTTTTATATAAGTCCTAGAAACTATTTAAAGGTCATTTTGAAGCCCTATTGATGCCTAACTCCAGAACTTATGATTTACTGTGCCTATCCCACATTAGATAAAATTAAAGTAACTTGGAAGTTCAGGAAATCGGCTTTAAGATTGCCCAAAGAGAGATACCACAGAGGTTAGGTGCATTTTCCAGAAGTTCTGAGCTTAAACTGGGCTGCAAAAATCTCAATTTTCTTTTTTTTTTAAATCTCAATTTTCTTAACTAGATCTTTGCTGAGGACCCCTGCCTTGCAACCCACCACTCCCACCAGACTTCCAATCACCTCCATAATGGGTTTATTTAGCTTTGGCTCTGGGTCTGCTTGGTAGGGGTTGGAGGGAGGAACGGGGTCAAGTTGCAGACTGGAATGCAATGGGCTGGGAATATCTCAAAGAATCCTCCCAATATGCCTTATGTTCTTTGGGGTCCACAGAGTGGCCACCAGCAGATTCCCTTACTCCTCCAGCCCCTAAACCCATCTCTCTCTTTGCCTGCTTTCCATGTGTATGTTTCACCTAACTTTTTTGATGATAGTAGTTCTTCACTACCCAATTCTGGAAATGTAAAAGCAATTAAACCTAGATCTTGAAGGAAACATGAAAGTAGAAAAATCTTACATTGTCTGCAATATCTTCCCTCCCCTTCACACACTTCCAGTCCCCCCTGAAATCTTTGATCCCTTAAAAACAAAAGTAAAGAGATAGGACTACTGCTAGGGTTAGTAACGTGCCTTGGAGAACCTGTGTCTTGACTAATGACTAATGACTAAATTATATAGTGTGCACTTTCTTAACAGTTGTTAATATAAATGTTTTCACAGGGCAATTGTTATAGTAAAAAGAGTCAAGTATTTAGCCAAGAATAGAACATGTTTCTTTTCCTGTCTAGAAAGAAAAAAAGAAGAAAAAAAAAACCAGAAAGCTTCTCTATTTAAAATAAAAATGTGGTTTCTCGTCTTCCAGCTGGACATTGGTTGTGAATCCTCACCAGGGCTTAGATCTGGCAAAGAACCTGAAAAACAGGGTCACCCTCGGTGTCCCCGCAACTGGACTTCAGGGACCATCCCAGCGGTGGGCACCCACCTATCTCCCAGGCCTGTGGGAGCCAAGGCCTGAGTCACAGCCACAATGGAGCTGGCCACTCTTCCTCCTGCTCCTGCCTTCGGGGTGCCTGAGCCTTCGTGTGCCCCAGACACGCAGGACATGTGGTGGGTGGCCGAAGATCACACCTTCAAACTGACCTCAGGTCAAGGATTTCTCATCCCACAGTAGGAGGTCTGAGATGCCCAAACTCCAAGCGGGCAGGATCGCAGGATCGTTTAAATATCCGAAGAAGAAGTCCAGGTCCAGGAAGATCCCTTCCCAGAAGCGCCTCCTTCCACCCTCACCCCCTCCCCACCCCCAACACACACACACACACACACACACACACACACACACACACACACACACACACACCTGCGCGCATAAGTTGGAAACACATCCCAGGATCCACACTTCCGCGAGGAAAAGATGCTTTTTTGTTGATTTTTCAGTCTCCTTCCCCCAGCAGTGGGAGCCCCGGTGACTCGGGAGAAGCCCAGACCGGGGCAGACGGGGGGGAAGAACGGCTCCGCTGTGCGCTTTTTACTGGAAGTGGAGCAGGGTGTCGGGGAGCTGCAGAGGGAAGTAGGAGAGGAAGGGGATCCCGAGCTGGTAAAAGCCGCCCTGGACGTGCGGGTCCAGCATGAGGGAAGCGTTGAAAGGCGGACAGAGACCAGTGGAGGCGGCCAGAAGCGAGGTCCCCAAACAGCCGCCAACGCCGGGATCCTGCTTGGCACTCGCCAGGAGCTCGGCCCCTGCAGCCGGCTTCTGGCCCTGCCGTCCGGCCAGGATGCTCTCTATGCTGAAGCTCTTGGGCTTGTCGGCGGCGCTCCTCGGAGAGCTGCAGCAGGCGCCGGGGCGCGCGGGGGTCCCCGGGCCATCCACAGGGCGCGCCTGCTGGCCCGCCGCCGCCGCGACCTGGACGGCACCGCCCCCCGCATCCACCTCTGGGGGCTCGAGCCCGGGAGGACCGAGGAGAGACGCCGGCGGGGAGCCCTCCGGGAGGGGCCAGGGGCGCGAGGGCGCTCCCTCGTGGCGGGGGGTCGCGGGCCTGGGCCGCCCTTCCCCGCTCCCCGCCTCGGGCTGCGCCACCGCAGTGCGCTCCGGCGTCTCCTCCGCGCGGGACCGCTTGGCCTCCGGGGGCCCGGCGGCGCCCGGCTTGGGCTTCCTCTTCCGGCGGCGGTAGTTGCCGTTCTCGAACATGTCCAGGCAGCGGGGGTCGAGCGTCCAGTAGCTGCCCTTGCCCGGCCGCCCCTTCTCTCGGGGCACCTTGACGAAGCAGTCGTTGAGCGAGAGGTTGTGGCGGATGCTGTTCTGCCAGCCCTGCCGGTTGTCGTGGTAGAAGGGGAAGCGGTCCATGATGAACTGGTAGATGCCGTTCAGGGTGACCCTCTGCTCGGGCGCGTCCTGGATCGCCATGGCGATGAGCGCGATGTAGCTGTAGGGCGGCTTCTGGGGGGGCTCTGCCCCCCGGCCCGTGGCCGCCAGGGCGGCCGCCGCCGGGGCGAAGGCCAGAGGCAGCCCGGGTCTCTCGGGGCCGTACAGATAGAGCATGGGCGAGGCCGCCAGGGCCGGCAGCCGGGGGCCGAAGAGGTGGCTCATGGCGAGGGCGCGCCGGAGGCCGAGCTCCCCGCGAAGCCAGAAGCCCCGGCGGCTTAGGGACCGCGCCCCGCGCCGCGAGGACCCTCCCGGGGCGCCTGCCGCCTCGCGTCTGCCTCCCGCTCCGCCGCCGCTCTCCCCTGCCTCTCCGCGCTCTGTCCCTTCTTCATGGCTTTAGAAAATGTTAAATAATTGTTGTAAGTTTGCTATTATATGTTGACTTAGCGCTGGAAAATAAATTGTCTATGATAAACAGTCGTTGTGTTCTCAGCCCACCCACATTAATTAAAATTTCATTGCCGAAAAAAACTCCGAGCTTTTCCCTCCACGTGTCTTTTCGATACCAGCCAATCGGTGTCGGGGCTATTCCTTCATTTGTTTATAGAATTAGTCTGTTGATAAGTCCGCCCACCCAAGTTGAATCAAGCTGTGTTTATTTGGAAAAATTTCCGGGCACCCAATATATAAACGCACTGATCTGATGTTTGAAATATCGCGTCCACCCCTTGACGCTGTGAGCACACACAGTCAGCAAGGCAGGATGTGGGCCCGGGTGCCTGGGAGCGGGGTCTGCGGGGCCAGGAAGGAGAGGTGGGATGGGGGGCGGAGCGCAGGGGTGAGTTTTTACCTCTGACCTGGGGGAGCCCTCTTTCCCCCCCCACTTCCCCAACAGCCCAGCCTCCCACAAAAGGTCTTTTCTTCTCCCAGGCTTAGTAGGAGGGAGGTGTGGAGATGGCACAGTCTCACGGGATGCCTTCCTAGATCTCTGAAAGCTTTGACATCTGTGGTGGGGAGAGGCATCTCCATCATAGAGGGTTGGGAGTCTGATGAGAAAAGGATGCAGACCTTCTAGGGCAGGTCCTGGGCTTGCCCCTAAGGAAGTCATGGCCCTGGATAGGTGGCTAGTACCCAGTACCCCAGGGGCAGCAAGCCTCGACCTCCAGGGGAAAGGATCCTGGAGCCCAGCTTTTCCTGAAGACAACACCTCTGGTGCCAAGGAGCGGAATAGGGCTTGGGCTACCTGGTCCAAAGTTTCCAAATACACCGGCTTGGAAAGTTCAGGGGGAGAAGCGAAGGTCTTTCTAATGGGACTGAGGTTGCAAGCAAGAAAGACCATAAAAGGGGAATTTGGCAGCTGGCTGGGGAGAGCTGGTATTTGTGAATGCGGGTCTCTTGCTTTATATTCTGCGCTTTCCTGTTTATAACAAGGAGGGGGTTATAACAACTTTACAAGTGCACGCAGCTGGCCCATGATTACATTAAACATTTGGAAAGCCTGCTTGGGCTCCCCCAACCCACCCACTCACTCTGGGGTTCAGTTGCACGCCCCCCCCCCAGTGCATTTTACATTTATAGCCACGTCAGAGTTTGAATCAAAAGCCTTGGATGATGCTGATTCCCTTGGAGGTGTCCTGCCCTCACTCCACCTCGTTGGAGGAATGGGGGGCATGTGGCGTGACTAGTTCTTGTTTATGATCTCTGACGAATATCTTTTAAGGGGGGTGGGGGGACACAACACCAGCATTCCGGATGACTGAATTGGCGTTCCATTGAGTGAATGGGCCGTGATCCCAAAGAGAAGATGGAGCAGTGTGTGTAAGGGAAGTGTGGGGGGAGGGGGGGTGAGAAGAAGGGGGGCATAGAAATTGCCCAGGACTGGCTCCCACCCTGATGGGGAGAGAGGCACTCGAGGTGCATTGGGGAGGGGGGCGGGCTGCTACTTTTGCTGTCAGAGGCTACACGCTGCTGCAGGCTGGTTTCGAGCGCTCAGGATAACATCACCCCAAAATGGGGAGTCCAGAAGTTTGGGGGTTCCGGATAGCCCGTGGGAGAGCGAATATGTTTGAAATACCGAAAGGAACTCGGCAATCTGAGTGGAAAGACCGGTTTGGGCGCAGGCGCGGCTTGAGGGAGTGCCAGGCCAGGCCCTGGGACACACCTCCCAGCCTCCATCCAGGGCGCGGCATTTCTAACCCGGGGCAACCTTCCTTTGGGACCTGGCCCGCCCGCCAGGGCCTAAGGGTGGCCCTCTTGTCTGCAGGGGGCGGGGCGCTGTCCTCTCTCTGGATCTGCGGCTCTTACCTGAACACTCCCTTAAACCCTGGAGGGAGAAAAGAGCCTCTATGCTGCGCGCTTTGGCAACCCTCGGCCCCACAGTCCCGGGGCATCCCCAACCTCTCCAAGATCAGCGCGCCCCCAGCGGGTTCAAGTTGGGGTCCAGCTCGGCTTCAAGCCTCGCCCGTTCTAACAGACGCAGAACAAAAGATAAGCTGGTGACATCCACACGCCCACCCCCACCTCCGCACTCTGAGCCCTTCACGGAGCTGCTACCCTGGCACCGGAGTCCAGCACGCACATCCCTGCCTCTCCAGAAAGGCACACCGCCGCAGCGACGCTCCTTCTAAACTCTAAGGCGTATCCGAGCTTGGATTCGTACAATAATAAACAACACCCGATTTGGGCATGGGCCGGACGCGGGCGGAGACACGCGCGTCTGGTGGGCGGGTCACTGATAGTAAAGGCGGAGAGGGGAGAAAAATCCGAGTTCTAGTCGCGGTCTGGAGAGGCATCTCCAGCCTTGCAGCGTGTTTGCTGAGGTTTGCAATGTTTCCCAGAGCTTGCAGCCATAGACCTCGGGCCTAGCGCCCCATCCGGGCTCTCCCGCCGAGATGAATCCCGGCCTCCCAGGTGAAGAGCTTTTGCAACTGCGATGATAAGAAAGACCGCGCTGGAGCGAATTTCCGGGGAGCGCAAGGCAGAAGCCTTCAAGTCTGAGAGCGGATGCGCCCTCGTGCGGAAGCTCTGTGGGTTAGGACCCAGCGAGCCTAAACCCAGGGGCAGGGATCTGGGAAGAGGAGGAATGGGGGAGAGGGAAGGGGAGGTAGCCGAGCTTGCATTGCAGGACAGCTGGGCAGAGGGGGAGTCCCAGAAAGCCAGGTGGAGACACTGAAAGTTCCCTGTGTGTTCCTAAGCCTTCAGATCCCGGAGAAGAGCATTCATGTCTGAAGTCAGTGAGAGCACCACTGCCAGCCCGCAGGGAAGCCCCGAGATGCCCTGCCTGATGTTTCCGGAAGGACCAGGGCAGAAATCAGAAATCGGGGTCAGCGTGGGCTGAGGGTAGACAGTACCTTTCCCAGGTCCCACCTGTGGGGAGAAAGCCTTCTCTTTGGGCAGGCTGGGCAGAGGCCAGCCGCCAACCTGAACCAAAGAGGCGCAAGGGGAGAGAGGAGCTCCAATCTACTGCCCTCTCACTACCAGGATCACCTACCCTTCCTCTGCTCCGCTGGCAAATTAAAGAGCCAACAGTCAAGTTAATGACAACCTGTGTTATCTCTCCAAATATGTGCTTCACTTTCTAAATGTGAAGACAGTGTATATGTATATGTGTGTATGTGTGTAATTGATTCTACCATATGTGCAATGTATTTGAGAAGAGTGAGGGTGGAAAGATGCAGGACTTACTTAGCCAGGTCACCTTACTGACACCCTGAAAACATTGGAAAAGAGGATGATAAAAAAAAAGAATACCATTAATAATTAAAATGTACTAGAGGCTAATATAAGCTGGCACTGCTCTGAGTGATTTCCTTATGTTAGGTCATTCATTCCTCACAGCAGAAACGTGCCCAGTCCCCATTCTGCAGACCCAGAACTTGAGGCCAAGTCCTCCTTGCAAAGCCAGGGAAACAAGTACATGGTAGTAGCCATTGTGTGTGTATGCTATGGGCCCTGTAACATCTATGAAAGGCAGGGTGCTGACCCATTTCACAGATGACAAAACTGAGGCTGGGCACAGAACACCCCCAAGACACTGTAGGTAGTAAACAGCAGAAGAGGGATCAGAACTCACACTTTTTCCTCCGAAGGTAGGTTCTCTGAGGGTTGACAGCCTCAGGTGTCCACAGAAGCTCCAAGGGCTGTGCCTGGAGTAAGCTCCAGAGAGAGGTGGTACTCAGAGCGATCAGAGCTGGAGATTTGGGGCATTATAATCAGGAAACCAAGCGTCCTCACTTTTATCCTACTAAAACCCAGAAGCCCCAGTTCCCCCCATCCCTGCCCTCCTCCTCTCCCACATTGAAAAAACTGGAGAGCCGGGTCTTTGCTGCTTCTCAGCAATGGGGGTAGAGGGTCGGAACTGAGATAACCCTTAGCTTTCAGTTAATACTGAGTGAAACCCACAGAGCAGGATGAGATTTTCCTAATTATTTATCCTTTAGAGCCCACCTTGTTCCCCCAAAGGATTTAAAGGGTCTAAAAAGGGGCAGTTAGGGCACACACTGCCCTAACCAAGCAGTTTATCCTGAGACCTATAGCTAATTGAGACCACAGAAGCTGTTCTCTTCTGTTTCCAGGCAAATCCTAACCTCTAACAGTATGTCCTTACTATGGGCTGGGTCCTGTTGAAGCACTTTCGTGTTCTGTGTTGGATCCATTATTCTTCACAACAGCCTTATTTGAGGACCCCATGGTTTTCCAGTTGAGAAATGAGCCCAGAGAGCTAGAGGTGGTATGCCCTCCCGAGGTCACATGAACCCCCCACTGGCCTGTGCAGAGCGCCTGAGCTGGTGCCTATGGACTCAGCTCAGAGAGCAAGGCTCCGCTGGGGAGCCTGCCTGCAAGAATAACATGAAGGCAGGGAGAACCAGAGGGGCTTCTGGGAAAGGGAAGGCCCAGGCCCAAGGGCTACTGAGTCCGTGATCAGAGGAGTCTCTGGCCTTCATGACCTCCCAACCTGGGTGGCCATAGATTGAGCACAAAGCTATAGTCCAGGCTCAAAAGGCCAGGGACTGCCCTCCCATGCTCCCCAATTCCGTTCCCTTCAGGGACTTGCAATGCCAGCAGGCCCATCAATCTGTCAACCCACCGCCTGCCCTCCACTTCAGCTTTTCACAGCCTCACAGCCCCAGGTTGAAGTCCCCATAAGCCTGATGCTAGGAAAACCATCACACCGGAAACCTAACTCTCCGCCAGCTGTGCCCCTCTGCCTTTGCTGCACAGCAGGCATCTTGCAAAAGCGAGAGAAAGGCTCCTGCAAGTCCAGGCGGTGGCGTCTTCCCAGGCTCAGTGGCCTTCACTGACTGCGGCTGCCCAGCCTTCCAAGCGCCCTAAAGCATTCCACCCCCTTCCTCACATGCCTATGTCAGAAAGCAAACATTGCAAATGCCTTGGTGAGCTGAGGCCACGCAAGAAACAGGCAGGCAGGGAATGCTTCTCAAAGTTTGGGAAAGCATTCCAAGTATGTGGTGCAGGAAGTCACTGGTGGCTCCGACCCAGCGTGTCCTGCTCACCTGGAGTCCAGCCCCCAGGCATCCCTGGCCTGGCTGACACAAAGCCGTAAACCCTTACCGGGACCAGTTTGGCTCAGTGGATAGAGCCTCGGCCTGCGGACTAAAAGGTCCCGGGTTCGATTCCTGTCAAGGGCATGTACCTTGGTTGCAGGCACATCCCCAGTAGGGGGTGTGCAAGACGCAGCTGATCGATGATTCTCTCTCATGGATGTTTCTAACTCTCTATCCCTCTCTCTTCCTCTCTGTGAAAAATCAATAATATATATATATATATATATATATATATATATATATATTTTTTTTTTTTTTTTTTTTTTTTAAGCCGTAAACCCTCAGCTCTCTACTTGTCCGTTTCCACCTCACCGATAGCCACCATTGTGCTGCCCAGGGGCGAGCCCGACACACATCCCACAAGGTGCCAGGCACAGGCTCTGAGACCCAGCACATTCTCAAGATACACAGTTCTGTGCATTAATCAAGGTGTCTTTTCTGGGTAAGTTCTCATCGGGCCAACCTTGCCCTGGAGGGCCCCATTTTATTTTGGGATTTGGGATGGGAGCTGGAGGAGCGAGGAGGCAAGTGCTCAGCCACCACAGCTTGTTTTCTCCAAGGGGGACCTGGGAACTCTGCTCTCTGTGCTTTGAGTGCTGCTCACAAGTCTCTCCCAGACCGGGAGGTGACCCTCAGGCAGTCTTGGGGTGGAGAGGAGGAGATGGACCCCGAAAGATTTACGAGCCAAATGCTTAAGTTCCCAGGACCCTGTGTTTTCTTCCCTTCCACATGGGATCTTCACTTCTTGCTGACAGGGAAGGGGAGAGGGGATAACGGAGGACCCAGGGCAGGAGCCCCAGCGGCGGGGAAAGTGCGGGCTGCCCGGATGCCCTGGCACTCACCTGGTCAGGCTACAGAGGAGCAGACCCAGGCCAGGGCGGAGCCGCCTCTTCACACAGCAGCGAGATGTGGCCTTCTGGTTCCTAGCCCAGCGCTCCCGCTTCCAGGATGGAGGTCAACACTGATTTTGGTTACGGTGAAAGGCCTTTTGAACCAGGGCAGGGAGGTCCGGCCAGCCATACACCCCAGTCTGGCCTTGGAGAGAGGTCAGGAGGGCGATGGTGGCACACCAGCAGCCCTTCCTCCCTGAGAGGTGAGGTTGGGCATCTCTCCACGTCTTATGTGCGAAGCAGAGGCTTCTCCAGCTGTTGCTTCGCTGGACCTGGGAGCGATCGGGGTGCTCAGAGGCCTCGGGGTCACTCCAGACACGGTACAGTGAGAGACAGAGGGTCAACTTCCAGGGAAATGGTTTCTGCCATGGTCTTGGGGTTGCTTCCTTATTATCCGCAGTATCTTTGAGACCTGCAGGACTGTATCTTATTAGGTCACAAAGGAACATAATTGCCAGCATGGCTTTATGCAGACTGCGTTCTGGTGAACCACAGAGCCACCAGGCCCTGAGGTCCACCAGCCTGCACAGACTTTCAGGCCCTTCCACCCTGTATTTCCTTCCCCCTTCCCGGACAGGCCCTGGGCCTTGGGAGGACTGAGGACCGACTGGCTGAAGGAAGGGGCAGCAAGTGGATCTGAGAAGCAGACAGCCTGCGGGCCCAGCACTAGATGTGCAGGGAGCTGGGAAGTCACCAAAAGGCAGTCCCGCTGGTGCCTGGATGCCTGCTGCTCAAGGTGTCCTGCTCCTGCTCCTGCTCCGAGATCTTCCTACTCCGCCAGCCTGGGAGAAACAGGCTCCCCGAGGCCCCAGGTCCCCATCGGGGCTGTAAGGGCTGAGCTGAGCCAGCTCTAAGCTCAGTGCCCAGCACATGGGCCAGCCTTCTGGCTCCCACACCTAGCTTGGCTCCTAAGGCTTCCGACTGAGGGATCCCCAGGTGACCCTCCACAAGCCAGCCCTCCACACGAAATGCGATCTCCCAAGTTGCCCATGTTCCCAGGGGTATGAGGAACCCCTCACTATGTTGTGCACCCAATTGGGGGAAACCTTCTGGAGAGCTATCCCCACAATGGGGACTTCAGATGCTTTCCTGAAGGTAGAAGATCCAGGGCGTATGAGGCTGAGCTGGGTCTCTCGCCTAACCCCATCCCCTTTCTCTGTCTTGTATTCTCTGCGTGTCTCTCAGAGCTGCTCTGATTGCCAAAACTTAAGATGAGGGTAATCTTTGGGGAGGACTCTTTGAAACACCTGGGGAGGGAGAAAGGCAGCTAGAATACTCTGGCTTTTCCTGCGGCAACAGCATAAAAGAAACAGGAGCAAAACGAAACCAGCGAAACCAGCCTGCCAGAGCTGGGCAAGGAGCCGGGCTGCCTCTTTCTCTGCAGCTCAGAGGGGAGGGGGGCTCTCTCTCTCTCTCTCTCTCTCTCTCTCTCTCTCTCTCTCTCTCTCTCTCTCTCCTCTCCCCACCCCCACTCCGTAGCTAGCTAGTCCAAAGCACTGTGGCCTGGGGGCCTGCCCAAGGCAAGCCTGGAGCATTGGGGCTCCCGTCCCTGCACATTATGAAAAGGAATAGAAGGCAACATTTTAACCACATGCCATCTCTGGGGCCACAGACTGAAAGAATCTGGGTCACATATACGGGGGAAGTTATTATGATCAAACTTTTCCTAATTCTATCTCAGCTCGACATAGAGACAGAATGCCATGTTTAAAACAACAATACAGCACCCAGGTTATATCTCACGTCCTCGCTGCATCCAGGAAAATCACCTTTTGGGAAATCATCCTGGCTCATAATGTCCCTTTCACGTGGAGTTTGGCCCTGGGGGAGGCCCAGCTCACCTGCTGGCATGGGAAACATTCCCCAATTTGGAGCTCCAGCCTCAACATTCAGGCACAGGGACGGACCAGCAGGGGAGTTGGCGAGTTTGGGCCAGTGAAATCGATCACAAAACCGTGTCCCCTTTGGCCACATCTCACAAAATTTGTGTTGCTATTAAAAATAAAAATATGAGATATCAACATTGAAAAGAGAAATAACCTCGTTACTTAAAGTCTGAAAAGGTGGATAAATGTAGAACCCAAGCCCTGGAAATTGTTTTTTGAAGAGCAAGGAAGCTTTAAAATTTTTCACTGCAATAGGGTAAGCATTTGGAAATCAAGAAGAGGTCTGAAATGCACCTCTGAACAGACCATTTTTGGGATGGTCGCTAAATGCTACAGACTAAATCCCCTCTGGTCGTTCACTGGCCCAGTGCAAACTCTTCTCCAAAAAACCATTGAAGTGGGTGAGTAAGCCCGCATTTTAGGAAATCCAGGCGAAGCTGGACTCCTCCTGGTTTGCAGATCGCTAGCAGAAGACGGGTCTCCTTCCCCACCTAAATCGGGGAAGGGTGGGCATTCATGTGGAATGGCACTGCATGTCTGGACAATTGGCCTGTTTTTCTGCCTTTAGCAAAATGCATGACAGCAAATGACATTCCAGCAAGCAGTCCTTCTGGCAGTGGCGTCTAAGCGGGACTGGACTGTCCCTGGTCTGGTCCGCCTCAACCAGGTTGAAATTCCAAATTAATAGAAAGCCTTTTCAATCATGAAGACGACAAGAGGGAAGGATCCCCCTTGTTCTGTGATCACCTAGATATGTCTGTCTACACACTTACCCGCCTGTGTAACAGAAATAACCTAGGCAGGTGGATTTGCAAACCCACCGCGACTTTGTTTTAAATGCGAGAACACAAACACACTGTGTTGGGGGCAGAAAAACAACATGGGTTTATTTTAAGGTACGTACAACAATGAAGACCACGTAAGACAGACACAGGTGACGTTAAAATTTTTAAGGTTTTTTTTTTCTTTTCTTTTAGGAATGCTCAAGGAGAAATCTACTATACAAAACCATCACACTTTGTAAATAAAAAGTATCAGATACTTGACTTCTTTTTTAAGCCAACAGCAACAAAAAAATAAATTATGTTCTTGTTTTGCAAAAGACCTACAACTGGGGAAAGAATTATATCTGGTAATTGTCCAAGGGGGAAATCCCACATAAGGTTTTATGAATTTTCGACTTGGCAGTTAAAATGGTTGGGCAAGATGAAAATTATCCAGTGAACTCAACTTTAAATATTATATTAATGGCTCTGAACAACAACAACAACAACAACAACAACAAAAATAGCCTGATTACAAATCCACACGTTTGTACAGCACGGTTAGAGAAATTTAAAATTACACACAGCACATACACAAATCTATAGAGATCCCCATAAGCCTATGGAAGTCTCTACAGAGAGTCATTTACTGGGTCGCTATGGGATTTGGTCCATAATTTAATTTTGGAAACCTCCCCCAAGTGGAGCACAGCCATCCTGGTAGGGGAGGAGGATTTTAATATTCATTTCGTTGGGCTATGTCCCTTCACTGGGGAGGGCGCTTCGCAAGAACCTCAGAAACGGGGCGGCGAATGTAAGTTACCTGCAGCTTCCCGCTCTGCTCCCGGGTCTGAGAAAAAAAGCTGGCGGTCGCGTTTGGGTTCTTTTCTGCGTCTCTGCAAGGCTGGACTGTCCGAGAGGGTCAGGTCTGCGAGGCGAAGCCAGGACTGTCCGAGAGGGTCAGTATTTGGTGCAGTCGTAGGAGTAGGGGGCGGCGTGGCGGTACAGGGATGGCGTGGATCTGTAGGGCAGCTGACAGCTGGCGTTCCCGCTCACCTGGGGTTCCCCGAGGCTCGAGTTCTCGATTCCCAGCCGGTGGGAGTTGAACATCTCCCGGACGTTGGGGAAAGTCTGCTGCTGGGCCGCAAACGTGTGGCCCGGAAGGTGGTTTAGGTCCCCGCTGTGGTTGAGATACCAGGAGGCCGCCTGGGCCGCGGCGGTCGCGGGCTGCGGCGGCGCCGACTGGGGCGGCTGGGGGGCCGGCGGGGGCGGCGGCGCCTGCGGGTGGTGGTGGCCGTGGTGCGGGTGGTGGTGGCCCGCGGCGGCGGCGGCCAGCGCGCCCTCCTGGCCCGCGGCGGCGAGGTTGAGGGCGCTCAGGGGCGACGTGGGGCCGCCCGGGTGGTCCGAGAGGGCCTCGTCCAGCGCGGGCGGCACGCACATGTGCGCGGGCCGCTCGGCGCCCGTGTACAGGCTCATGGCGCGCATGCTGCACTGGTAGCCGCCGGCCGCGCCCGCCTCCAGGCCCTGCGCGCACGGCTGCCCGTAGGCGGCGGGCGGCGCGGCGGCCGCGTAGGGCAGCGCCAGCGGCGGCACCACCAGGCCCGCGCGCCCCGCCGCCGCCGAGCTCAGCTCGCCGCCCGGCGGCGACGTTCGCAGTGTCATGATGTTCTCCACGCTGAAGCCCGGCAGCCCGTTGGGCGGCGGCGCGCCCCCGTGGTGCTCGGGCAGCGAGCCGTCGTCGGGGGAGCCGGCGGGCGTGGAGGCCGCGCTGCGCGGGCTGCCTTGCAACGCGCTCTCCGGGCTCAGGGTCTCCACCTTGGTGATGACCGGCAGGGCGGGCGACGCCGCCTCGCTCTTGATCACCACCACCACCTTCTTCTCGGCCTCTTTGGGGGCGTCCGCCAGCCCGGGGGGGCCGGCCGGGGCGCCCTTGGCCGCCGCAGCCGTCGGGGGCGGCTCCTTGAGGTGGGCCCGCTCCTCCTTCTCCTTGGGCACGTCCTTCTTCTTGAAGCGCCGCCGGCGCCGCAGGAAGCTGCCGTTCTCGAACATGTTGTAGGAGTCAGGGTCCAGGGTCCAGTAGCTGCCCTTGCCGGGCTTCTTGTCGTCGCGGGGCACCTTGACGAAGCACTCGTTGAGCGACAGGTTGTGGCGGATGCTGTTCTGCCAGCCCTGCTTGTTCTCCCGGTAGAAGGGGAAGCGGTCCATGATGAACTGGTAGATGCCATTCAGAGTGATCTTCTTCTCGGGCGCGTTCTGGATCGCCATGGTGATGAGCGCGATGTAGCTGTAGGGCGGCTTCACCAGGTCCTTGGGCGCCGCGGGCTGGTGGTGGTGGTGGGGGTGGTAGGGCGCGTAGGAGCGGCCCATGCCCGCGCCGCCGTACTGCTCCGGGTGGCCCGAGTAGACGCCCATGGGGCTGGCCATGCCGCCGTAGCCGCCCGCCGCCGCCGCCGCCCGGTAGTAGTTCTGCTCGCTCAAGTAGGGCACCACTCCCAGCGCGTTGGGGTCGGACACGGAGTAGCGCGCCTGCATGCTGCGTCCGAGACAGGCTCGCCGCCGCCTGTGCTGAGCGCACGGACCGCGAGGAAGGCCCTGCGAGAGCGAGAGAGCGAGCGGGAGTGAGAGAGCGAGAGAGGGAGGGAGCTGGCCGGACGGGGGGGAGCCCCGGGTGCTTGGAAGCCTCGGGGACGAGGTTGGAGGAGGCGCCGGCGCTCGGCTCCCGCCTTCGGACGGAGAAGGGGCGCGCTCGCTTCAGCGGACCGGAGGGATCAGCATCCTGGAGGGCGCGACCCGGGCGAGCTCAGCGCCGGCCCCTGCTCGCTGGCTCCCTCGCTCGCTCGCTGGCTCTTGGGACCCGGCGGGTGGCAGCTCCGGCGGGCGGCAGGGGACCCAGCGGGGACGCCGCGCGCGCAGCGGACCGAGGCTGGCCCCCTGGTCGGTGCCAGGAGGGGTACGGCGGCTCTCGGAGCCTCCCGGCAAACCGGTAGCCCTGGGGGTCAGCGAGCCGGGGTCCAGACGGGCTGCCCTGCCGCCGAGCCCGGAAAAAAGAAGTAAAGTCCCTTTTAGGGATTGGGAAAAGTTTCAAAAGTCTTCTTGCTGAAAGCGAGTTTTTACTTTCCTCCGGCCACGCCCCCTCCGGGAACTTTGCACCAATGGCTCCGCGGCTGCGGGGAGTTGGCACCCAATCAGGGCGCGGGGAATCCGTCGGCGCTAAGACCCAGCTGCGCGGAGCCAGGCTTGAATGCTGCTGGGTCTCAACGTGAAAAGATTTCTTTTTCAAGAAAAAGAGTTATATCTTATTAAGTTTTATTTTATTATCAAATTTTGGTTTGTGGGCCCATGTGCGCAGAGGGAAAAAAGATGCTCCTTTGCAAAAAAAAAAGTTAGTTTGAAAAATAAAAGCGAATTGATTCACGTAGTCAAATCTCTCTCTCTCCCAAAGACCTTATACGAACCAAAGACCCAGGGACTATTTTTCTTATTAATGAGTGATGAGGAGAATAATTAGATTTCCTAATTGCCGGAGCCCAGGTGTAATGGATTCGAAGCAAACGTGCTGGCTTGGCCTGGAAGGGACCTCGCCTGGATGTTATTATTGAAGCCAATATTTAATAATCAACAGGGAGTTTCCAGGTTCGGGGCCGTCAAGAATAACCTAGGAAGGTTTTTGGGGTACATTACAGAAATGGAGTGCTCCTTGACCCCACCTGAGGAGTGGGGCCGCGGTATCTATATGGGGACATGAGGAGTAGGGCGAGGGGAGGGATAGCAATATCTTGGTCCTTTAATCCTGTACACTCGCCGGAGGATTCGGTAATTCGCCGCGTCCGTGTGAGCAGTTTTGTGGAATTTGGGGAATTATGGTGAAACAACTGAGTTCAGCTCCCCCTTCCCCTCCCGCGTAGACGCCTGCAGCCCACAACTCCTGCCCCCTTTTCCCAGAGAGAAATGCCCTTGGAACACGCTCCGAGCGCCGGGAACAAAGCAGCGGGTCCCTGGCGGACAGAGCCCGGCCCCGCGGTCCGAGTGGAGGGCCGGCGGCTTCCCGCGGGGCCCTCTCCCCGCGACGCGCGCCCCCCGCGCGGGCTCCCTACCTGGCCTGCGCCCCGACCGCCGACCTGGGCCGCGGCTCCTCTCCGCGCCACCGGCAAAGCCCCTCTGGCGCTCTCCAAAAGGATTTTTTTTTCCTTCGGTGGGGTTTGGCCGGGGGGTGTTGGATAGGTGGTTTGGGCACCGGGGCTCCGTAGTGGGAGGACGCGGTAGGTAAGCGATTGCAAACTGTTTCAGACACCCCCGCAGAGAAGCTGTTCTTGGGGACCAGGACTTGGAACTTAGGGGTCCTCGCCCTTCCAAGTTTTCTTCTTCTCTCTAGGAATCCTGGAAAGTTTGTTTATTTGTGGACGGAATATTTATCCCTTCAACACCTCGGATCGGCAGGCCCCCCTTTGCCCGCTTCCCCTGAAGGGGCGGGATCCCCCTACCCCCCAAGAAGGGCTAAATGCTGGTCAGAATTCTCCTGGAAGTTGTCCATCCGGTTGGGTGGGGAAGAAGACCAGATACAACATTTGTTTCAGGTTTCCTTTTCCCCTCCTCACCCTCATCAGATAGATTCCCAGGGAAAAGGCGAGAATCTACCATCACACTTAGCTTTTGGGAGGTGAATAGAAGGCATGGGGGGGCTTCTCATTCATTTTCAATAAAAGGGTGAAAGAAAATACATGTACGTGCATGATCGACAAATGATATTATCTCGTGAAAAACTCAGAATCAAAGAGAAAATGCAGAACAGGTTCCTATTACCTTGACTAGCCTGCTTCTGAAACACTCTATTTTTTTTTTATGGCTGCTCTGAGTTCTTGTTCTAATTTGATTTTTTTTCCCCCAACGAAGTAACATAAAGCTTCCCAGACCTTAGCTCACAGGTGAGTGGTTTGAGAGTTCTCTCACCCCACCCCCTCAATTCCCACTACGACTTTATTATTTTTTAATACCTCTCTAGTACGTTCACATCCATCTTTTTTTTTCTTTCTTTTTCTTTTTTTTAAAGTACTCTGGCGAAAAGTGCCTTTCTCGGGGAGCGCGTGACAGGCACTCAGAGCTGCTCACAGTTTTACTGGAAATGCTGACTATTGGTCAAGAAACACTCCTCAGTCTGCAGGCTTCTTGGAGAAATAGTATTTACCCTGCTTTTACGAGGTGCTTTCTTAAAAGCTTTATCACAGGGATAGGCGAAAACCCAAAATAGCCAAGGACCATGGAAAATACATTCAAAAATATCAGTTTCTGCAGAAGTTTGCACTTACCAGGCTGTCCAGGTTTAAACCAATGTCATCTGAAAAGAACTAAGTTGAGTTGCCAAATTAGTACTCCCCTTTTCCCCCTCCCCTAAAAAAAAGGTGGGAGTTGGAGGAAAGAAATCCTTATAATCAAGACAGAAAAGGTGAGAGAGACATTTTCCTTTGCCCCTGGAATTAGGTTTCTTCTCCGCTCAGTAGGACTCTGGGAGAAATGTTTGTTCAGGTTATCAAAACAACACCTTCCACACACCTGGGCTTTGCAAAAACCATATTTCCGATCTTTTCTGTAACCTGCTCGGGTATTTTGGACTGGGGGGCTGCTCTCGTTTCTTGCCGATTTCTTCCTTTCCTGACCTCGTTATCCATGAGCTGAAAGCAGAATCCGGTCCAGGAGGCCCTGTGTCCTTCTAGAATAATAAGCGAAGGTAAAGACAAAAGATATTCAAGTCACTCAGACACACACCACCACCACCATCGCTACCACCTCATTGCATTCTCTCCTCAGAGCCACCAGCTCCGGCACCTGGAGTAGGCTCGGGTGACCTGGAGTGTTGGCACCCCCTTGAGGCCAACGGAAAAACTACTCTTAAAAGAAGAAGAAGAAGAAAAAAATCAGATTCTCTGGTCACAATGAAGGTGCTGACATCTTATGGATGCAACTTAACATTGCATGGCAGGAATAAAGCCTTCAAAATCAGAAGGAAATAAACTGTGTGTGGTGCGTGGTTTAAAAAACACACAAGTAACACATAACATTTGCCATAGCTTTGCAATGTGTCAAGAACACCATCTGTTGGAAAACAGAAATGTCTTTGAAACTGCTAGGAGAGCATGAAATCCTCTCTAGGGAGATTCTCTTGTGTTTTAAGCAAATAAAATCTGTGCCTCTTAGGTGGCTAAGTCTTTTCTTTCTTTCTTTTTCTTTCTTTCTTTCCTCCCTCCCTCCCTCCCTTCCACCCACTTTCCTTCCACCCACCCACCTTCCTTCCTTCCTTCCTTCCTTCCTTCCTTCCTTCCTTCCTTCCTTCCTTCTTTCCTTCCTTCTTTCCTTCCTTCCTTCCTTCCTTCCTTCCTTCCTTCCTTCCTTCCTTCCTTCCTTCCTTCCTTCCTTCCTTCCTTCTTTCCTTCCTTGTTCCAGGGCTGTTGAACAAATTGCTCCACCAGGTCTTCCCAGGCAGCTGTTTTTCTGCCCTGCGCGAGTTTCAGGGAATTCATCAGAACAAAAATGTATGTACTTGATGTGTATGTGGCATTGGATTTAACTTGAAGGAGATTTTTTTAACGTGTCTGCAGCAGCATCTGTGTTTTGTTTGGCTTTTTATTTCTTTTTTTTAAATATATTTTATTTCTTTTTTACAGAGAGGAAGGGAGAGAAATAGAGAGCTAGAAATGTCGATGAGAGAGAAACATCAACCAGCTGCCTCTTGCACACACACCCCCCACCGGGGATGTGCCCGCAATCAACGTATATGCCCTTGATCGGAATCGAACCTGGGACCTTTCAGTCTGCAGACTGGCGCTCTACCACTGAGCCAAACCGGTTTCGGCTGGCTTTTTATTTCTTTAAAAAAAAAATTAATAAAGGATAGGTTCAAGAGTACCTGGGGAAATTTGAAAATGGAGTGCATATTAGATAATTATTTTGTATCAAGGTTAAAATTCTTGCATGTGATAATTGTGTGGCCAAGTAAGAACATGTTCTTGTTTTTAAAAAGTGCATGTCAAAATATTTAGCACTGACAATCATCATCTCTGCCACTTTTAAAAGATTCAGCCAAAGGTGGGGAGTAGGGGAACTGATGGAGGAGGAGAGAGAAGGGTATCTGAAATATAGTAAAATGAGAACAATTGCTGACTTGTGGGTATTCACTGGGTACTCTTCTTGCAATTTTTCTGTAAGTTTAAAAATTTTCAAAATTAAAAAAAATTGGAGGAAAATACCTTTGCTACTCTGAACATTTATTTTTATTTTTTTTAATATATATTTTATTGATTTTTCACAGAGAGGAAGGGAGAGAGATACAGAGCTAGAAACATCGATGAGAGAGAGTCATCGATCAGCTGCCTCTTGCACACCCCCTACTGGGGATATACCCGCAACCAAGGTACATGCCCCTGACCGGAATCCAACCCAGGACCCTTCAGTCCCCAAGCCGACGCTCTATCCATTGAGCCAAACCAGTCCCGGCTACTCTGAACATTTAAAAAGGGATGTGACACAAAGCAGACATCTTT